TTTAGGGTTGAGGAGTTTGGGGGGGCGCTAAAACAAGGGTTGTGGTTGGCTTGAATTAAAAGGCCTTTCGGGTTATGTGAAGAGGGTCATGATATAAGAATGTCTTGCAACACCCTAGTGTACAAAAACCCAACTGTTCGGGGACTAAGCAGCAACAAACCTTCGGACTGTAGCATTTGCAGCTGAAGCCCAGTAACTTGAGTATTTGGACCCCTCGGGTAAGGATTTTATTGTAGGCTTTGGTAGCAGCAGAGTAGGGATACCCCAAACCACCTAAACCCCAAAGGTATGTGGAACAATGGCCTTTGGGACTGTTTTAAAAGGTTTTGGGCCATTATTCTACCTACTTTGAGGCTCTACGTAAAACTTAAATCCTAATTGAGGGTCATGATTTTGGTCTCTTTCGGGATCAGGTCTTAGAAGGGTGTCTTCATGGACTGGGACGAGGGGTCACGGATGTAGGTTTCAAAGTTTAGGTTGTGGGGATTCGGCTTCGACGGATAGATAGGGTGTAAGGTTTAGTCAATATATTTCGGCTATTAGTATTACCATATAATGGCCTGCGGTTTAGCAGGGATGTGGAGGATGTAGGGCTTGAGGCACAAGAAGCTCGATGTAAGTGTGGGTTCAGGAAGCACGGGTTTAGAAAGGCGCAAAAAGATGCTCAAACCCTCGGCCTCAAGTGAGGGTCAAGAATGCCCATGTGTGTATAGGGCTCCTCAGGATATCTTTTGCGAACCTAAACCCTAAACCCCAATACACATGAGCCACTGCCTAAACTCCTAGTATCCCTCTTCATAACCCCTCTTGTAGTCTCCTTTTTTATTCCCTATATAACCCCCCTTGAGGGGTTTAGACTATAGCTCACATAGTGTCCATTTGGAAGGACCATATGCTGCAGAGCTCTGGATCTTTTTCACAACAGCTGAACTGCGCAAAAAGCTGAGACATCGTTGCTCTCAGCGTGTGAGGTTGATGCACTTGTAGGTTGCAGGCTTCTATGGAGAATTCAGACTATTTCAAGGCCGTACCATAGGCGCGCAGCCCAATGCTGAAAGCCTTACACCTGAGTTGCGGCTTTACACTCAGGTCACCATGCACATCATCAAGACGATGGACAAGTGCAGCGGATGCAGATTTTCCAAGCATTGCCTGTCCTGCTCCTGGTGTTCGGCTCAGCCTCAGGGTTTGTGCTGACTGTTGGCACAACCTTGTTTTGAAAGACTTGGTCTTCAGACGTGATATCCCAGGGTACCGAAAGCGGGGCTAGGATGAAAGGCTTTGTGGACATGGTGCAAGCTTATTCTGTGATTGCAGCGTCATGTCGAAGGTTTCTTTATGGAGAGGAAGAGCTTGGGTGCCAAAATGTAGAGTAAGTTTATGGCTTTCTGCTTGCAGGTGCTCCTGACCCTCTCCAACTTTGCAAAAGATGGCGGAGGCTTCACATGGGTCGGGGGTATCGTTCCTGGCTTACAAAGACCCGCAAGGCTTGTTGTTCAGGGCGTGCAGAGCTTAATGTCTGTGAGGTTGGCTTTTTGTTTGGCAGCCAAACTCAAAACCCAAAACCCTAAACCCCAAACCCCAAACCCTAAACCCACACTTTTCTTGGTTGCTTTGAGACCAGGAGGCTGGCCACCCCTGACCGGACGCCCTAAAATCAGGTCTTATGACCCTACGAGTTTAGGGTTTGGGGTTTAGGGTCTAGGGTTTAGGGTTTGGGGTTTCCGGTTGCTCCTCCAAAATGTGAGTTTGCTAGCGGCTTAGCTTTGGAGAGCGGGCAACATATAGAAGTTGCTGCCTTGCAGGTTCCAAACCTGCTTGGGCTTCAGGGTCTCAGGGTTTAACGTGCAGGGTTTGGGATTCAAAGGTTCAGACGTTACTTGTTTAGGTTTCAGGGTGTAAGTGTCGGGGTGCTCAGTGCTTAGAGTTAGAGGCAAGCCATCGGTTGCAGGCCATTCTTTGATCCCTGATGCTTGAACAAGGCGCAACCTGCATGGTACTTTCCATAAATGAGGGGACCCCAATGGACCCCTTTGACTTTGACTTTGAATGGCTCTCAGAGGGTAGTTCGCGGCCTAATTAAAGCGTGCAAAGGTTGGGAGTGCCTCGCGCAGAAATATGGAATCCTTCCAGTGTGCGCTAAGGCCGCACAACAGAGTGTGCACTAAAAGACGTGCCGCAACGGGCCAAACATCAGGACATACACGGAATGTAAGCAAGCTAAAACAAGCAGCAATCCTCTGGTATTCTGCGAATGAGGGAGCGGCGCAAGTCAGAGATTGAACCGGCATCAGGACAAAAACCGTCTCTGAACACGGAGCCCCCCTAACTTTCAAACTGAATTAAAAACTTGAGGGGTCCCCAAAAACGCAAGTCGAAGCTTACCCTCAACTAGAAATGACTGTGTTAGTCAGGAGCCATATGCCACATGCAAGACATCATGGTCATTGAAACCTCAGGAATGCTCGCGCCCAACATCTCGCTGAGAAGCATTGGCTGCTGGCATAGCTCGGGCGTGAAGGTGATGCGACTCCCCTTCTTGTTCCAGCCATGCCACTGGTCCTCCACGTTCATCACCGTAGCACCAAAGAGGCGGAGAAACCAAGGGTGTGCGTAGAAGTCGAAAAGCTGGCTACACTCAACGTCATGCCTTTGCTGGTTCTGGACCTTGTCGAAATCCAGAAAAGACCAGTGATTGCCCTCTTTCTCCACTTGTTCTGTGCAGCATCCTTTGTGCTCCATGTTCCCATGGCTGCTGCTGCTGTTGTGGATGACCTTGTCGCTGTTCAGGGAAAGCATGTAGCAATCGGCCGAGTTCGGAATGTTCTTGCAACGGCGGTCAACCCGCCTCAACTCATCGCATGAAGCGCGGGATGCACCTTCCTGGTTGTTGTGATGTTTTGCTTGCACATTGCTAATGATGTACGACGTTATTGCGCACAAACTGATGGCCACTCCAGCCGGCGTCTTCGTTGAAGTATGCATGTTTGACACATCATGGCCGACAAGAGGCTCCCATGTTCCGCGCCATGCATCGCAGGACACATTCAGATCATGCAGCTGATAGAAAAGCTGCCTACCACGCCACCGCTCATGGCTTGCCCCACCAGCGCAGCTAGAAGTGTGAAGGCGGCTATCCGACAGCTTAGAAGGTCTGAGACTGTCAAAAGCCTGCTCTGCCAGCCTCCTGATCTCTGCCTTATGATGGCTCATGTCGAGGCCGGTGATCTCCTGTAATCGAAGACGCAAGGCTCGAAGGGAAACGGCACCATCATTGGAATCAGCGAGCTCCGTGACAAGGTCAGGAACACACTGATGCAGGATTCGGATACTGCACGTCTCCAACAGGGCCGTGCTACCAGTCCGCGCGGTCAAGTCGCAGCTGGGTATCTGCTGTTGGCTCGTGACGAACCCCATTCCCCGTGTCTTGCACGGGGCCATTGCAAAGGGTTCTGAGGCTGTCAGCTATCTCCACAGCCGTGCTCCGCTGCTGGAGTTTTCTGAGCCCTCCAATGGACCCCACACTACTATAGTCCTTGTTATATCGACCCTCCAATAAAGTACCCTGATTGTTGCACCCCCCCCCCCCCCCCCCC